ACAATGGGAAGTCGTGGCCGTTGTCTCGTCTCGCTACGCACTTGTAAATAGCACAGTCAGCGGGGTCCCGCCACGCTCGTAAATATTCCGCGCGATCCGATCAACGATTGCTTCCCCGAAACTTCGGCGAAATTCCTGACTCCCCATGCGTTACGTACAAGGGAATAATCCTAACGACGTAAACATCACGCAAAAACGGATCTGTTTTGGCTGAGCCAAGCGGAAAAGCACCGGAATCCGTTTATTATTTGCTCGCTCAGTAACGCGAGACTTTCGCTATCGCTCGGAATACAAACCAGTTGACCTCAGGTCACGATTTCTTAACACTTTCGCGTAGGAATAATATTACAGCTCGCCACGCGGCGCGCGTATGCGTGGCTAACGGTCGCTTGTTTTCTCGATTTTACGCGTACTTAAGACGCTTATGCAAATCATCAATATTAATTATTAATTCCCGAAGACAGAGAGAAGGATATATATGTGTATGAGATATTAGTCAGGCGAAGCCAGCCTTGAAGATTAACCACGTCCGTTGTGTCCCATGATCTTCTCGAGCTATAACGAGATTTTTAGAAGTTGAAAAAGTTTAAAAGTAATCTTACCGTGATATTTAAATCGTAAAACATTCGTAGTCACTTACCAGGACAGGAGAAAGGACGTCTCATTGCGTCCTATAAACTTTAGAATTGATAAATTGATTCTTTATTCATAGGATATCTTCTCTTTCACTTCTCATCGCATCACTATAATCATCACTTCACGAAACAATCGAATCCTTATAATCGTTTCATAGCTCTCAAATATAATTCACACTTCAAACATATCGTCACATGGCACAGCGCAGGAGTCTCGAGGGAAGATGGTCACCCTTATGGTGGCGTCCCCGCGATGCGAAGATCCACCTCGCTGATAGATACCCTTAATCGCCCAATCTATTCAGCGAAATAGCGAGCTCATCGTTCCGTAATCTATTTATCTCACGTCACTCACTCGCGATCTTCTCACGGGACTTTCGTGGTACGTCGATACGAAGAGTGGTAGGCATCACGTGTCGGACGCGCATGGCGATCAAGAGATGCGAAAGAAGGAGATTATCCATTGGGTATTGGAGATACCGTTGTCGTGCTCTCTGACGGTGATTTATATCAGGAGAGGAGCTATCCGATCGTACCCGAACGTGAGCATTCGCGTACTACTCACTCACAAATTATACCGAACGTAAAAAATTTTTCGGTTATCTCCGACAGAGCTCGCTCTAGCCACCCAACGTGAATGAGACCTACCAGACTGAGTGGCTTTTCCTAGACTGGTAGGTAAGGAATCCTTCAGAAAGAAGAGTCTGTAGAAATAGAATGGAGATGAACAGAAAAGCAGGTAGAAAAAGTTCTTATCTTTCCCCCTCTCTCTTTTTCTCGGACAATGATCCCAAAATGTACATGCCCAAAATTCAATGTACGATCTTTGGTTTAATTTATTTTGTCTCACTCGAAGCTTACATAAGCCTTATAGCTAAGCTTGAGTAAAAATGAAAAACATATTTTTTAACAGTTAGTTAATAAATAGTTCCTTGCGATCTTTGGAAAAACTTGGGAAACAGATTTTCATTGAAAATAGAAAATTCCTTGAATAAAGAATTACGAAGCCTGAAAGATAGTAAAAGATAATTTTCAACGGTCAATACATTCTGGACTGAAGTTTGTCTTCTAAAAAAAAAAAATCTTCGTGTATAATAAAAGGGCACGGAATTACTGGTTAACCGAATATTAAAATAACGGTAAATTATAACTCGTCTAGTCTGAGATTTTTATTAAATATTCTAGGACTCACCAAAGAATTCGCAACTTTATAACTTGTGATATCTGTCATATATATATATATATATATATATAGTAATTAACTTTGGAGTAGTATCGCAATGACATATTTTATCTTCTAAGAATGTATGCGTGCGCTTCCTCGGGTGTACGAGTAGATCTCCTGGAAGCGTCTCGTCTCATTCCTTTCTGCTCCGACAGCCACTCTCGCTGCTGAGTTGCATTATGTTGCGCGCATTATGCACGTGTCGTCGTCGCCGTCGTCGTGCAATGGCGTTCCGAAGAGTCGGACGCGTGCACACGAATGCGAATGCCAACGGGATCTGGCTTTTCGATGACACTCTTACGCGCAGAAGGTTTCGTAAGGATTACATATTGATGTTCAAAAAGGTGCTTTTTGCCGAAACATCTTTTCGATATTAATCTTCAACTTTTAATATTAATCCGATGCTGATTATCTAAATGAAGCCAGTTTTTTGCAATTGAAATTGAATTGAGCGATAACATTTTAGTTTTTAATTATACATTTTCAATTGCTTAGGCCTTTGTTCTTCAATATGAAATAATATGCAAATAGATGCTGGTTGAAAGTTTTATGAGATAGAAAATTTCAAATTTGCCGAGAGAAAGAAAAAGTGAAAAGTATGTTCTAGAAGGTTGATTCACTGTTTATAAATATGCCACATATTTGTTCGATGATTGTGTCGTGTTGAAGTGTATTTTCGCGTGACGATAAGAACTTTATTTTACGACACATAGTTTTTTTTTTCAAATTGTTAGTTTAATCTTAAAATTTACAGGCGTTATTAAAATTATACATATATATTTCTATAAACGAAACCGTGTCGCGCTATCTTACGATCCGTTAAACACCAAGGTGATGTGACTCAATTACCTCAAGTCACTTAAAAAAAAACCAACAAATGTTATTTGCAGATATCCACGACCTCGAAAAAAATTTCGCGAGATAACGAAGTTATACTTTACGAGCGAGAAGTGCAGGATTAATAACGCGATTGCGCGTAATTGCGTTTCGGCGCCGCGATACTAAACACGATGCAGTCAGCAAAAGGCGAGTAGATAAGTCTACGTTTACACAACTGCGATAATATGCGCTTTTAAACGCATTTTAACAAGCGATGTCGCAAATGTCGAAGTGCAAATGCGAAGTCAGCCGCGCGTGTTACCGTCTGTGACGCATTCTTTGGAGATGAATGAATAAAGGAAATGAAGAAATATGATTCTTTAAAATTTATAGCTGCTAAGTTTCTTATTATATTATATTTTTTTGTGTGATGTACAAAAAGATTAAAGCATTACGTGACTATTATCGTATCCCTGTATCGACAAGAGAATTAGAAATGCTCGGGATGAGATTTCTTTCAATTAAGGTCAATAACTTTGGAGATTCCTCGTGGAATTTCTGTTTCTCTTTGGAAAACTGTTTTGTTTTCTTCAGATCTGGCTTTCTTTAAAGTATTGCTCTTTTTACTAGCACTAGTTGCTACCTGCCGGGATAACCGACTGATATAATACCGACCAAAATATTTCCGAGTTTAGTTTCGGAGCGTCTGGCAAATAGTTTCGGACGATTCGTCGTCCAGTCGTGACGGCTATTCTGTTTCTCGTCTGAAGATTCATACCTGCGTGCGTCAATAACGGTCTGCTTTTTCAGGACTGCGTGCCAGAGTGCACCGCACGGTGCGCGCCGAGATAAAAGGGACGTGTGTGAGAAAGAGCGGCGAGGACGGAGGAGAGCGAGGGAGAAAAGGATAGGGAGGAGTGAAGATACGCGCGGACGTATTTATCGCGCGCGTGCATTGTAAGGTCCGCCGACCGAGCGTGCAGATAAACACGCGCGTTGCGCACGTAACAGTATAAATAACTTGCGCAAGCGTTAATGAATGCTCTTATCTTAGCCCCGCTCTTCCCTGCCGCCTCTCCCCCGTTTTCCCCTTGAGAAGCGCGAGATAGATATACCAGCCAGACGCTGCGTTTTATTATCTCCGTCGATGCGCGTTGCGTTTATGCGGGATGAGCGAATTTCTTGCCGTGCGCGGAGAAGGCAGAGAGATAAAAGTTACGCATACCCTAGAGCGAGTTTCTCCGAAAGACCGTACGCGGAATAACATAAATAAATCCGCCGTCGGACGATATGAGACGATAACAATAGGCGTGTTTAATATCAATTTTTGCGCATAATTATCTCGATGGCAATAAAGCCGTGCCTTCTCTTCTCTCTGCGTGAGCCTACAAAATCTGCATAAATGCGTGTAAATTGATTGTATTTCGCGTGAGTAACTCTTACAAATTTTTCTCACTGCGTACCTCAAGGTTCGTGGAAACGATACGTCTCGGTAGAAAAACTGCGAAAAATCCATGTCTCGCAGAGTGCAAGAAAAAGAACGCGCGAACTTGCAACCGGGGAGAATTGCGGAGATCCGACAATTGATTTCGGTCGCGTCGAGTAACGGTAACAGCTGACAGAGCTCGTTGCCCCTAGGGAGACGGGGAATCGCAGCCCCCGCATTTCTCTCTCTCTCTCTCTCTCTCTCTCTCTCTCTCTCTCTCCCTCGCGTTACGCCATTTGCGATTTCCGCCGAGCTTTGCGAACCGGAGGGCAGAGATAAATCGATAAAGAACGCGAATGTGTGCGCGCGGGGGGAGAGGGGAGCCATGAGAGCGACCGTGGAGGAGTTTCCTTTACGACCATATAAATTACGCGCTTATAAATTATGTTGTATCGTTTTAAGCGTCGTTGCGGAACGCACTGCATAAAGACGTTCGCGCCTCGCGAACGAAGACCTCAAAATGAAAATACTAATGGGATGATTAACTAACTGAAATGACTAATTTCAAATTTCTTCTCGTATAGATAATGGAAAGATAGAGAAGAATTTAATTATCCAACATGTGGTAACGTTTGTTTATATAAAGCCTGATTACAAGTTATAGCAATTACAAGCTGTGTACTTTTATTGACGTGCAGTTATTGCAGGCTGAGATTACGTGCCGTTAAAACTATTTGGGCTAATGCAAATCTATTCGACGACGGTGCATTCGCTCTCTTAATTGTTAAGTCCGCTCCTAATTGCCAATGACCTCGTAAGCCGCGGGCTAATTTATACACACCGATTCGCATAATCGCGCGGGAGACTGAATTTCCGTTTTCTTTGCCTGTTACAGGGAACGCCGTGAAGCGGAAGTGCGCGAGCTGGAAAAGGCCAAGATGGAACGGGAGAGACTCGAGAAGCAGAGGGCCGAGCAGGCAGTTCATAAACATTTCGAGGAGTCACTTAAGCTGGCGCAACAAAGGGTATGTCACGCTTTATTGCTTATTTTATTTTAACCGCGTTTTTTTTATATTTTCCGCAATGCGTTAGTTTTATCTGTTTTCGATCTCGTATTTTTCTGGATTTTCTTCTCCGATGAGAATCGCTTTAGAAGGACATAAATTATTCGGGCTATAAATGAGAGGCTTTTATTAGTTAGGGTGGCAGGAAGGAGAAAAAATAGCTTCGATCGTAAAAGGCACAGATATAATACTCACTGAACTTTTACTAAATAAAAAATAGTTGTCTTATGTAGAAGCGATCTTTCGATAGTATATGTAGCAGATGACTGCATTCTTGCACAGATCCAATGTGTTACAGAGACTTTTAAACATACATTATACGGAATTTTGACGAATGTATCCGGAAGCATTCGGACTATCTAATCCTCGTCAACTAATTACTTGCGTCCATTATTTTCCCCCATTTTCGGGTCGTAAAGGCAGCATCCTTTGTATTCCATTCCACTCAACGAGCCTAACGAGTTGATAACGAGGAAGCTCTAGTTTCCCTCGAGGAGGGCGTGTTTTTTGCCTCACGATATAAAGTCATTATTTCGCGATCTACATAAACGGAAATATGTGAATCGTTGCGGAGAAATTTTATTTGGATAAAAATTTATGAAGAATTTGCAAAGAATCGGCATGGAATTTGTTGATGCTGAGCAGAAAATTCTAAGAAAGTTAAAAGGAATATTTGGTTCTGCTTACTTCTTAAATTTTCTTCTTTGAGAGAAATTCTTAGAAGAAAATATTGAAGAAAAGCCGATTGTCAAGTATTTGTTATTTTCACATAAAACCATTCGAAAGCAATAATCAATACCTTATATTTATTTTCTTTCTTCTTTTTTAATGAAATTAATTTATTTAAAACAAACATTTGCTATTAATTTATTTTCGTATCGTGAAAAGTGATATTTTAGTTACTAAAGCATTTGATTATTATTCCGCGAAAGAATATTTATACAGTATATTTTTTTTCAATCTTCAAAGAAACTTCTGAATAAGCACGCGATGTGAATTGTAAAAAAAAATTATTTCACAAATTATGTGTGTGTGTGTGTGTGTGATTGAGATTTCTCAAATAATAATTCATGGACAAGCAGATAATCCTAAGCAAATACAACTGTGACTAATTGGGTTGAAAAGATAAGGAACTTTTCAGGATTCAGGTATAAGTTTCAATTCAATGACTCTTCTACCCTCACTTGCATCCGTCCGCGCCAGTTCAATTTTCAGTCTTTAGTGATCTCTGGATGTGTACGGTTCGAAAGAAGCAGACGTCTCCTAAAATTATTTTTTACGTTATTTCGAAATATAAAATTTATTTGTAACCACCGTTCGTGAACTAAACTCATTGTTTATATAGTTAATGCATTTTTAATGTCCGAAACTGCAGATTAATATATACAATACAATATTAACTCAGTGAATTTGATGAAAACGACTTTCGCCGTGAAGTAAGAGTGTAGTGAATCAAGAATAACCACAATGCTACCAGTTCACAATAATCAGTATGATTTGATGCAGATGGTGGAAAATCTGTGTAGTCTAGGCAACTCAGGAAGTCCTTGCACCGAACCATTTTATTCAATGGCTGAACATGTTATGCGACATGAGGTAAAGTCATTATCAATAATTTAGCTGTGTACCGTACATTCATCATCACACGCTCGTCGATTTACATCGAGATTATCGTAGACGCGCTATCTCGTAGAAAATTAGCGAATTAAAGAATTTAATTCCTTTTTACTTTAAGCGGGCGGCGAGACGATTTCGCTTCAGTGCCCGTTCTCTCGAATCGCAGTTCACGTGTTCGCGATATCAGGACATTCGCATCAGGGTCAGCGGACAGGTTTGCAATGCTTCGGCGCATCGGTGGCGTTGTCCGATAAGCGCGATTAACGCGTTTCCGAGCACAATAGCGCGGGTTCATTTCGCGCCGCGCGCGGCCCCGTCGCTCGTCGACCTTGGCATCCCGCCAAGCCAACCGCCGCGCCGGCGAACCGTGACACGCGTTCAACACATCCGAGATTGGCTAATGATTTCGCTGAAAAATCCGCGTGGCACGAACGCGAGCGTGAAATTTCGATGCATGACGCATCCGCGTTTAATAGCTTCTCGTTGGCTGTTGCACATTACCGATTATCTTCCATCGTTGAGGTGAAAATGGTGAAATCGATACGGATATTTTAAAGATTCGCTTTTCCACTTGGTACACCGATGAAGGTTTTAAATAAATTTTGTATATAAATCTTAAGTAATTTTTGCTAGTCTCTAACGGATATTTATCTTTGTATTTCTAAATAGATTAAAATAAATTTTGCGTAAGCACTCACTGAAAACGCATGAAAAAAGAACGGGATGATGAAAGATAATATAAATAATCCTGCAAATGCGGTACATCGTCAATTTTAAATTAAAATCGCAGAATAATACGTGGATAATTAATGATAAGAGCATTTGCCTGGAAAGTGAAAGAATTTGGTTTGATCGCTCGCATTCTCAATGTTTCTCTTTGTTCGTTAGGATTTTTTTCTTGGGTAGATTTAGAATGGAGAAGTAGAAATATTAGATAGAATTTCAAATTAGAGATTTATATTTGTGAATTTTTCATTATTTCGAAAAAGTAAATTTCCAACACGAATTAACAAATATCGATTTATACGGACAAGATAAATAGTACCCCTGACCTTTCCTTATAGTCAGAAAGATCGCAGATGAAATAATTCCATTAGGTTTTTGTTTGTGAACATTCTAAACTAAAGTTGGATATTCACAATTGAGAAAAACTTCTATTGCACCGTTAAGATAAATGACTCGACAACAAGCTGATAGGGTCATTGTATACTTAAACGGAAATGTTTTTGAAATCATTTAAACATTTTTGTATGACAAATGTTCTCAGAAATGTCGACAATAAATTAGTAACGCTAAAATAATTTCTGGATATGATGTAATTAATTACATCCGCCGCGCAAAAACTGCTGCCTCTTATATCATCAAGATTGCAAACAATTTATCGTTAGCTTTTGTATTAAGCGATAGTACAGATAAGAAAGTTTTTTTTTATACTCGAGAAGTGACGTTTATGTTTATTAATTGCCTGCAGACAGCGTTACGTATTGTACACACTAGAATTTAGCCACTTGGGCGGTTTTCCATTCCGCAAATAACTCGAGAAAGGCCGACGCTATTAACCGACCGACTGATATTAATTATACGGTTCACCGTATAATTACAATGGCGTAATTATACTCTGGCGATACGACCTATTTTAATTATATATACAGTTCTATTTTTCGATTTCTCTCTCTCCTTTAATTTTGCCGAACTATTTTGCAAAATTATACCCTTTGTGCATATTCCGTATATAAGCGCGTCTTTCGAATAGCTTTGAGGTCAGTGGGTAAGCCTCGCGCAATTCCGCGATTATTGTTAGCAGCGCAATTGATTATGCAGCGCGGAAATACGCTTTCGTCGGTGAATGACAAATCCGGTGGATCGGGGTGGGGGCGAGGGAAGGAGGTCACCGTCGATAGTGATACACGAGGAGGCTACGCGCGAAGTCACGATCGTGCCGGTCGTCATCATCGGCGAACCCGAAACTTTCACGCCGCTCTTGTCCGGGCGCAAAACGGTCCGCGCGCGTTCCCGTCTCCCCCCCCTCCCCCACCCCCCGTATTCTTCTCCATTCCCGGCACGGATACGCGTGCGCGCATACATACATACGTTACGTACGTACGTGCGTGCGAACGTTCCGCGAGTGGCATTTGCAATGCAAAACTCGCCGGCACGAAGGTCATTAATTATGCACTCCGCGCGACGGCGGTGCGCAACAATAGAGTCGCCGGGGCGCGCACTCCGGCGTGCACGATCATCGGCCCGGCTAGATTTTCCTCGCTATATTTTCGCGACGGATGATGCCCCCCGCGCTCGCGGACTCGCTTCTCCGAGGAATTTGAACAATGGGCCGTTTATCGGTTTCTCAGACCGGATCGAGGGAAACGCCGAGTTGCGGGATTGCCGTTGTCGTTACTTGCGATGTTTAGCGCGTCTCCTTCTCCCCCGCGGGTCACAGGAATGCAATAAAGTTTTGCCGAGTGAGGAGCACAAAGAGTTCGATGCGAGCATTCCCACAGAATTACGAGATGCAAATATACACCGTAGCGGATATTTCTAAGTAATTGAAGTCATGTAAGGTATTAAAGTCATGCTGATGTCTATCTCGCTCGCGTAATATTATAATATATTAATTAATTTGTGGGCGTGCATATATTTAAATATAATTTCTTAATTATAAGGTAATTTTATATCACAGGGAAATGAGAAATAGTCATGATATTTTTAGTAGCTTGGCAGGCTACTCAAAATAAACTCGTCTCGCGCGCGAAGTTAAACGCCCTGGGAATAGAAAATTTTACGCGCAAATTTCAGTAATAATACCTACATTTTATAGATCGCCGTATATTCAAAGTGTTATCGTGTTTTTTAAAAATAAGAATCTCGATGTACACATGTCTCATCTCCGATATTTCCATCTCTTCTCCGCATTCCGAGAATTCGTTACCCACGCAAAGTAATAATCGACACACTCCGGAGCCGAGAAATGAGCGGTATCGCAAACTCGCGGCGTGCAACGTAAGCGCGAGCTCTAAGCTGATGTGTTAACGCATCGCATCGCATCGCATCGCATCGCATCGCAACGCAACGCAATGCAACGCAACGCAACGCATCCGCGATCCGTCTTCCTCTAGGAACGACGGCTGCATTCCGGGTTGCGCTCGGAATTTCGTCACGTTTCCTCGCCTCCTCGCCGTTAGCGCTCGCTCGCCGTGAATTCGCTCGTCGGCGTTACCCACGCCTTCTAATCCCGCGGCGCGGAGTTAATTACCGCGTCGTCCACGTACCGTATCCGCGTTGTATATACGTGTCTGAGAAACACTCGGTCTCTTCCTCCCCGACGCGTCGTACGCGCGCATAAA